TGACATATCAAAGGAATTGCCCGCACCTGCCCATGAAATGGCCTTTGAGTCAATTGTCCCATTAATTTTAGTCCCTTTTAAAATAGGTTAAGGAGCTCAAACTCCGAAACCCTTCATCCAATTTGAATGTGGATATCCTCAAATGAAAGCTGAGAGTCTGCACTTTATGTCCATGTCCATTGTATAACTATAATTGGAATATGTTTCATTAAACAGGTAAAAAAAAAAAAAAAACTTGTACCATATGGACCTAACTGTATATAGGCCGCACTTGTCTATAAGCCGCAGATGTACACATTGTAACATGAGATCTATACACAGAAAGATTTTTTTAAACTTTTAATTAAATACGTACCAGTAACACACACAAATATGTACCGTAAAGCCTTTTCTCCTAACAGCACCTGTAACGTGCCTGGTTAAAAAAATAAAAAAATACAGAAGCCTACCAGGAAAAGTCATCGATCGCTATCTTCATCTTCCTCCTGCACGCTAAAACCACTAAAGTCGTCTTCTTCAGCGTTGGAATTGAACAGCCTCAGAATTACTTCGTCACACACTTCCTCAGTCTCTCTTTCATTGACGCTTTTGTCGTTGAGACTTTCGTCTCGAGGCAATTTTGTGAAACTCATAAAAATCCATAAATTAGCCACATCATTGTTCAAGCCGCAGTGTTAAAAGCGTGTGAAAAAGTAGCAGTTTATAGTCTGGAAATTACGGTAGTAGGACATCTGGGTACTTTTGACATACGACATTTGATGTACTATGTGTTGGAGCATACTAAATGTTTTCTGTTGTACTATATAGGATGATAGTATGGATACTGGATTGGAATGCTACCTTACATGTGGCTGGACCTGCACCATAGTTTCTAATCTGTAACACACATCGGTTCTAGCAAATTTGTAATTTTTTTATCCTTATTCTGTAGCTATAGCTCCTTCTGTGGTAGAGTAGTCCCCACATGTTAACATATATCTCAGTAGGGGCAGAATGCTGTGCAGAACATAGGGATTTTATGTTCATGGGAATGTTATATTTGTAAGGAAAGCAATAAAGCACAAAACTCACCTCTAATTTGTCAAACAATCCTAACGATCTGTCTCGTGTTGTTGTCGTTACAGAAACTGTACATTGTCTGTGATGTTGCGCTCTTCGTGATTGCCAACAAGAGCACTGCATGTCACCTGGATTCACCAAAAGACCCTGTCTTACCCTCCAAGTTCTTCCTCATACAGGACAAGGCAATACATACAAACACACACGCACACCACCAGATGTGTCGATAATGTTACATATGTTATATGCTCTTATGTACTGTTAAAAGCCAAAATCCCAACCTCTGTTGATATTTGTCGTTTGGCAGTTTATGCGTATCGTAATTTTCTCTTGTAATCTCTTTTAGGACTTTAAAAATGATAAAGAGTATCTGACAGCAGAGATGAGACAAATGCTGCTCACTGGGAAGGTAAATACACAACACATCACAGCAGTAAACAGCAGAAAGTCATTAGAATGCTTAGAAATCAATGTTAAGGATTGTAATGCTTAGTTTTGAAGTTCATTCATTGGAGCGGTGGAGAAAATAAGACAGACTAAGCACATTTTTGGCATTTATGGGGAAATTTGGGTATGTTGTGATGTGGGGCTGAAATAAGGTAAAAAATAGTTTGAAAGACATCCATATGTAAACGTCTGTTTTCTGAATATATATGTATGAATACAGTGAGAGCTGAAGAACACTACATAGTGATATATGAAACCTGATATAGTAACAAATGTCCCTACGTCTCCAATCACTCCTTTTCTTTTTTTACACAGCCTAAACCAGCTCCAGTGTTGGGAGCTGTGAACAAGCCTCTGACCGTACCAGGGAGGAGGATCTTCACTAAGACCACCACAGCTTCCGACACAGCCAGTAACACCAGCACCAACTCCTCTCCGCTGAGTTCAACGATCAACAAGAACAGGTAAACACACAACACATGCACTTTACCACTCGTACACATAATCAGAACACATATTTCATCTGTGTCATTTTACACATGTCTCTTAGTAACAGCAGCGCTCCTACCGAGTCATCAGAGAGCCGAGCGCAGGAAAACAACGAGAACCCGGTTATCAAGAATGACGAGGGAAAGAAGGTAAGTTCAAACACAAAATACAAGATTAACAAACTTCAAGCGCTGTTTTCTAGACTGAGCTTCTCTTACTGTCTTTCAAGGAGGAGCCGAGTCAGAATGCGACTCCTGACGCCGGGACAGAAGCGTCACCTGTCAAACGACGTGGCCGCCCGCCTAAAACGGCTGCTGCTGTTCCTGTAGCGGCGGAAAAAGAGGGAGCAGCACCAGCAGTGGGTGGAGCGGGCAGAGGCAGGAAGAGAGCAGCTGACCCCAACTCCAACCCATCCGCAGAGTCAATCAACATCAAGATGTCAAAACAGCAGCAGCAGAATGACGAAGGGACAAAGAGACAGATCGACTTGCAAAGGTGAGAGTGGAGAGAAAAAAAAAGCTGAGGAAAAAGAGACCATGTGGCAGAAAGTATTACAATGGAAGTTGTCAGGACAAAATAGAAGGCTTGTTACACCAGTTTGTGCATCAGGTATCAACTGTTTTTTCTTAGCAGGTGGCCATTTGTGAACAAAGTGAAGGAAAAAATGAGACACATGGAGCCTGGAGAGGAGACAGGGAGAGTTGTAGGGAAAGTTGCCCTCTTCCTGGGCAGTGAAGGTGACACTGAGATAGAGCTGGAATCCAGCCCAGATGCTGTTAGGTACCCCCTCGCACAAGGACACGCCAGCTGTGCAGTCTGGTCTGCCACATATATCCGAGGAGACACTAAGTCTACCAGGAGGGGAGTTCCCTCTGGCAGGCAGGGAGAGTCCATCAGTCGAGGGAAGGCAGTGAGTTGGTTTAATCAAGATGTTTAGAAAGCCGTACTACACTATCCAGGTCTTGTGTTTCGCCTATGTTTAAAAAAAAAAAAAAAAAGAAGTCCAAATGTTTTTTAAAACTTGAGTAATACCAATGTCTTGTTTGTATGTCAAGGGTAAAAGAAGGTGAATAATAAGTTTAACATAAAGACTGGAAACAGCCTAGCACTCACTAAAGTTCTAATATACTTAGTACCATAATCTCTAAAGTTTCCCAAATAACGCGCTGTATCTTAGTTGTTTAACCAAAAACAGATATGTAGAAATAACAATTAGTGATTACAGTGGGAGCTAAACCACCAGACTGCAACATGAAGTGCTATACTCGATTGCCAGATTTAACTGCACAATATTCCTTCATGCAGTAGCAGTTGCACCGTACCTTGACTGATAAGAAAACTCAGAAGTAGTTCATTGTTGGCGTTTTGTTTCCCATATTTAAATCAGCATAGCACTTTACCAATCATGATCATTTTTACATATATGGTTTTGCAGGTGCAAATGTGATGAAGCCATGTGAGTGGAGTTGATTTTCTCATGTAATTGTCTCAAAGAATCCGATAACTAGTCCTTAAAATCCTGTTTATGAGGCGACTTCTCAGCTTGTGAGCATACATGTAGGTTTTGTATGGCTCTGAATTGGAACTCTGAGAAAGCTGCTTTAGTGTAAGTAATCCTACTGATCTTCTGCACCTACTTTATGAATAGTTAATGAGATGGCTGTCACCTATTAAAGAGACACAATCTGACAAGTCAAGTAACCAGCATCACTGAGTCCAAACTCTGTTGTCTTTCAGGTAAAGAGGAGACCGGTGAAGGTGAAATCAAGACTGTAGAGAACGGGCCAGACTCTTCTTCAAACTTTCCCAACCTCTCCCTCCCCATGTACAAGCTCCTCTGACTCTTAAAGCTTTCCTGGATACATGATGGACCTTTCTTAAAACACATACACATACACAGGTGCACACACATACACACACACACACACACACACACACACAACACTGACATCCTAGAAGGTTTTAAACAACTTGTAGTCAAGAATTGAAGCTCATTGTATGTAGGTCTTACTCAGAAACATGTTATTATTTTTTTCCTTTGTGTTTGTTGCTCTTTTGCTTCTTTTGTGGAGCCATTTTTAAGAAAAAAAAAACAGGATGGACATTTTACAAACGTTTTAATCTGGTTATGATTGTTGCTTATTAAATTCCCTGGGAAAAATCCTACTATATGTCTCTCGACCTCTTCCTCCTTGTGTCTGTGTTGCACAATATTTTTATTTTAAGCTCACCAGTTTTACAGTTATATTTTGTATATACGCCTTGTGCAACTCTCCAGTTAAATCTTTTTGAATATCTACAGACAGTTAAAAAAAAAAATTGCAGCAAATGCTTAAAATATGGGAACATTAATACATTTAACAGATGTACCGGCACCAAAATTTTATAAACTTTGGTATGTTTAGGTTTCTAACTTTGGTATGTTTAGGTGCTTTAGCTGTGGTTATAGTGTCACAAGGCCAGGTAGAAACTCTGGATGGTGGTTTGTTAACTGCCACCTGCAATGCTTTCTGAAGGCCTTCTGATTTATTTCCAGTGTAAATGGACAAATTGAAGCTGTTGAACATTTCTCGATACTGTGCTCCGAGCTCTGTTCGCCGCCTCGTCACCCTGACAGGTCCGAGGCTCTGAAATCGAGCTGGGTTTAAATTACTTTTGGTTTTTTACTGCTGAATTACTTCACTTTGGAATGCATAAATGATATATTACTATACAAGTATGTGTTCAGGTTTCTGTTCATCTTTTACAATTAAATATTTTTTGTACTTTTGTCAGGTTTCTGTTGGGTTAATCCTGCTTTTAGGTATTGAGTGAATGGAAACCTTGAGGGTTGTGTTGATGACAACTTATTTTTGATGTAGTTAAAATATGCCTATTCTCATGATCATATTTAAGTTTCTTTTCCAAAAAACAAACAAACAAATAAATGCTTTTAGATGTTACTGTGCAGTGCGTTTGTCTTGATCACTGTGTTTTGAAGTGAGGTTTGAGAAACACAAGCACACTCGGTTTTCCACTTTTTTTTAATCAAAGAAACATGACACTGTCACAATAAATAACCATGCTTTTTATACTGCTGATGCTTGCTTCCAAGAAAAAGGAAAGTCTCAATCCAAATGGAGAAACTGAGATGCAACAGCCCCTTTTTTATGCTTCGTCATCGTGCAATATTGTACATAGTGAGAACACCAGGAAGACGGGGAGGAGGGGGCCTCTTTCCTTTTTTTTGTCCTTGCTTTTTCTTACAAAACGTAGATCCAGTCATCGACGGTGCACTCTAGCGATTGCGGGATGGCTCTTTATCAAGAACTGAATCCAACTATTTACAAGTAAAAGGAGATGGTGTGTGCGTTCTACCTGCCTTTGAACTTTGTATTTTGGCTCTGACTGGAATCTCACTCATTGTCAGCAGAGACGTTTGCACAATAACTCCATGTCATACTGTTCTATGTCACTGCTGGTAGGGACTGAGCTGGAGGTCAAGCAAAAGGAAGATAATTCTTTAAAAAAAAACAAAAAAAAAACGGCCCTGCGTGAGGATGCATCTACACCCCAATTCTCTATACGCTGAGCATGTCTTTACAGTCCATGTACCTCAAATGGTAATATGCGAGAACACTGCAGGCCTGCCATCTACTTCATAGAATAAAAGAGGAGTTCCAGCCTCTTTTACTACTCACAGGACATAATTCAAAGACAACCTCAGTGAGCATTTTATTTGGCTGTGTAATAAAGCATGTTTGGGAATATAGGTCATCACCTATATACCTGTATATATGGCCAAAGTTTTGATTGAGTGCTGCTGCAGTGGATCAGTGATGAGTTGTACAGCTCCTCCTCCGTCCACAGTGAGCAGATCCTTAATCCGTGGCTGAAAATGAGCGCTCTGAAATGAGTTTAAAAATAAAAAAACAAAACACCACAACACTGCAAACCTAAATCCTTAATGACATTCAGAGCCACTCATTTCGCGCTGACCAATCTGTTCACAGCAGAGGAAAAACATTTTCCCGTAACATACTCATAAAATGAAAAGAAAATGCTTTGGTTCCCTACAGGTTGTGACACCAAAACTGGGCGTGCTTGGTGGTTTTTCCGTGCAGAGGTCCCAGGTGTCTCTGATAAGGAAGATTCTTGCGAGATCCACAAGTCTGACAGGATGTTAAATCAAACAGACAGCCACCACATCATTTGGCCAAATGAACTAAAGGCAACAGAACATGCAAGCACGAGAAAAGACACAAGAAACGATTGGATTGTGGTGTAGCATGTGATGACCTTCAGGGGCCTGAGCTGGCTGTTAACCTCCTGCACCTTTAGGGCCAGGATTTTTTGGCTGTGCCACCCCTAAATAACAATAGTAAGAAAGGAAAAAAATAAAATAATACCATGACATTCAGAGGGACTCCTCATGGATCACAAAAGCATAAAAAGATATCTCTCCATATAATTGTAAACTAGGCATAGTTTATATTTAAAATAATTTGTTTTACAATGCCATGTAAGAAAAAAAGTATATCCCCATTGTATTTTCAAATTTACACGCATCTATTTACAGATAACTTTTTTCTTCTGTGCATGTGTGCAGATGTCAGAGGATGTGTACATGTGTGTGATCTTTCTTCTAATTCTACAATACAGAAAGAAAAACTTGTACATCCAAACTTCTGCAGTGGATTGAAGCATCTATGATAAAACTGCTGAGGAAAAACCCATTACACTGCTCATGCACAGCACTATCCAGTCAAGTAAATTTAATCCAGCAAGACTTTTACAGTATTAGAAGTCCGTAAGGGAGAATCTGACACACGGTCCAACCGGCTGCTGAAGGAAGGTGATGTATAGGGAGAGCAGTATGCAGGATTTCCCTTACATTTTTACCCTGGAAAATCCACCAGGCAATAGCAGTTCTTCGACCCTTTGCAATATTAAGAAAAAGAAATCGATGAAAAAAGTTTCAGAAGAGATGCAAAGCCCCTTTCAGATATGTTCTGTCCTCCGTTAATCTGACGGCATCTGAACGTGTCGGCATGAAGTCTGACTGAGCGTCTTGTCACTTTTCCATAAAAATTGCGATCCTACTAGGTCTGACCAAGTAAGACTTCTAGAAAACACAGCACAAGTTTAAACTGCATGGCAAAATCAACCTGCTTCCAGCTGTTTGTAGGAATCTGTCGTTTGAGTGTATTAAATACTTGCAGCATCAGACAGCAGCAGCACCCATCTGAGCAAAGAGAGAGTTGTGTACATCTACAGGTGGAACTGCAGAAAAAAATTCAACAACTACTTATAATTATAAATGACCTGGATACGGAGACAAGATCAATCAGGATGTAAAAGCAGGTCACACTGTGTACGTTTTTTCACTGTCACAGCTTATGAGCTGCAGTTAAATATTTGTTACATCGCAGACATACATATATTCATTTATATATTAGTGCATTGTTATGCATTATCATTATGATGTACTGTCCAATTTTGCATGTATGATAAATATTGTGCCCGTACCAGCACTCTCTGCATCACTGTGGTGGGTAGGTCTGAATGAAGCCATGAGCAGCATTCACATAAAGTGACCAATGTAGAAACAACAGAATGCCATCACTTTAACAGACTAATAAAGTCGGCAATGTTACATAGTCCATGTCTGAAAAGGGCTAAATAAAAAGGGCATGGAAGACAAGATGCATGACTGAAAGTTTTTCGGGGCTTTTTACACACACAATTTGAGTTAGTGGAAGAAAAGAGTCAGCATAATGAATAGATGGGACAGACAGGCAACAGGGTGGTGTGCATATTGGCAACTGTGGTGCTACCGGTGTTGAGTTTGTAGCAAAGTAAACGGTTACAAAAGAAGGCTCAGACTGCCATGATGAATGGGATGTTGTCTGCTTAACAAAAAGGCAATGGTGGAATGGTGCCGGGGAGGGGCTGATGCTATGATGAAGGGAGTTTTTGGATCCTCACACCTGGCTGGATTTCAGTTGCTGAGGAGCAGCTCTGTCGCCGTTTCCACATCCCAAGATTTTGAAGACAAGGCCGCTATTACTGCATTCTGTATACAAGGAGGAAGAATAATTAAAATGATTGTAATCTGTGTAAGTTAATAACAACAAAGTTGCATGCCCTTATAATGTTAATGTTAGACTTGTGAACTGAGCAGCCTTTTTAGTGTGGAACAAATGGCAATCACATTTACTGGAAATGCATCTTAAGATAGGTACAGATTACTAAAGTGAAATTACACCCCTGCTTGCTGACTCCCATGCTGTCAAACAGGGCTATGTATTTTCTCAATTCATCATTCTGTCCATATAATTAGCAAAAAGAAAGTCCCACACAGTGGAGACAGTAATTTCCCAGAGTCTAAAATGAAACGTTTAATGTCTGGTTTCTCAAAACCAACAGTTCAAAAATCAAAACTCAGTTTATTATTTTTTTATATTACGAAAAACTGAAAATATTCACACCTGAGAATCTGAAACCAATGAATTTTTTCACTTTTGCTTAAAAAAAATGAAAACTGATCGTGGAAAAATATTGACTTCTGACTTACAGCTTTCCTGTCAAAAAAAAATCTCCTGTTCCACATTGTGCTTTGTTTTGTTACAGTACAACAAAAACAAAAAGAGATTCTGACCTTATCGAAGCCCATGGCACAGAGTTTGTCTATTTTGCGCGTATAGTCGGGACTGGAGACCGGAGCGCCCGCATAGACGTGAGACCACAGCCTTGCAGTCTGTTTGAACATTTCTGGGTTCTGCTTATACTGAGGATTCAGAGAGGAAGTTTAGTGAGCAAAATTTAACAACAAAAAAATGAACTAACAAGACAGAGAGAGACAGGCGGTACATTTAGTGGTCTGCAATAAGCTGCAGACATATACCAAAATGTAATTCTGTACCATTTGCCATCAAAAAATAAGAAGCGAAAGTGCTGAGAAGTCTTACTGCATCGAGAAAAAAAAACATTAAAAGTATTCCTCACCTGGTTTGCTACTACTGCATCCTGTGGATCATCTGGTTCTGCTGCAGCAAGAAGAGCCTGTAGAGACAACAGCACCGTCCGCAGGGTCATAGCAGCTGCCCTGGGTGAAACAGATGAAAAGAAGGAGCAGTTGGGTGTTTTAAAGTGACTGTTTCCGCTGAGGCGAGGACAAAGCGGAATGATGAGCATAGTGGGTACAGGTATATGTTTCACTCACCACTGGTCTTTTAAAATGTCCAGACATATTGCTCCTGTCACAGAACTGATGTTAGGGTGCCAGATCTTAGTGATGAAGCGCACCTAAGGAAGACAGGTGTGACAGGTTATCTAGACCAGAATGGTGAGCTGATGGAAAAGAGGAAGTGTACTGCAATGTGGTACAATGCTTACATGCATACTAAGGTACTGATAATGAGTCCAATCTTCTTTTTTTTTTTAAACTCATACTGGGATATCTTTGGGCAGAGATGATATAACATTGTGAGCAGTCTGAGATTTTGTTGTACCGTTTACACCCCACGTAGCTGTCCTTTTAATATGTCTTGGTATATTAGGCCATTGTCTGAGCAATGGTACAAATTAATGAGCCAGAAAAGCTTTATGGCAGCACTGGATATTTGCATTTTAACATCAATGTGATGAAGTGCCTTGATTTGCTCTGTATTTAATTCGCTGGATAAGCCAAAAACAGGCAGCTTCATGCATAAACTATGCCTTAAAAGGTTTTTAAGAAATGCTGCCATCAACTGTAGCAATACAGCAATGTAAAATAACTGTGGAAGAGAATTTTATGGGATATGTTTATATGTTTCATTTGGTCACTGGGAATCAAAGATCTTCACGACAATTAAATTATTCCCCAACATCATTAGTAGCAGACTTTCTCTTTCACTTTTTTTGGTAATAAAATGTAGATTGATGGCAATCAGAAACCTTAATAAGGCTATTACAAGCCACAATATCATGCTATCTAACTTCAGCGAGCATATTTAGGTTCTTCATAACCCAATTAGCAGAATAGGGTTTTTTAAAACCAAAATATATTTAGTCCAAAACTGTGAAACCAAAAAAACGCTCTATGTATGTATTCAAATGAACTCACTGAGAAATATTAAAGCACATACCTTTGGCGGGTTAAAAGGATATGTTTCTGGGATTTTTATTTCAAGCTGATATCTGCCACCTAAAAAAAGAAAAAAAAATGTTTTAGCCTGAAAGATCCTGGCACTCAAGTGTGGTAATAAATATCTTGCCAAGTCATTACAGTGCAGATGTGTGGCAATACCTTCATATGGTGTATCTGGAGGACCTGCGATCTCACCCCTTAGCTCTGTGAAGTTCTCATCCACCAAATCTACTTTAATTTGGTTTTTACTTGTCTGTTGTTTGGGACAAATGAGAGAGAGAGAGAGACACACACACACACAATGAATTTTCCTGGTGGTCAGGTGAATCAGGTCCCTGTCTATGTCTTGACAGGTTGCCCCTCAAGTATGAAAGCAAACACTTAAACTTACAAACGTGAAGCTACGGATATTTTAGCCGGTAAAGGCACACCGGGTGTAATTTTATACGAAAAATAAAGTCGGTTTGTTGTACAGTTTCAGAGGAAAGCGTTGGGACATTCACGTTAGCAGCACAGATAGCCTGCTAGTGGAGCCGGGCTAGCCAAAGTTAACTAAAAACCCACATTACCTGAACTTGACAGGTAGTAGTCTGACAACATACTTCTTTTAAACGAACATTACATCTCACATTCCCACCAGCCTGCCGATTAACGTATAATAAGTTTATTCAGTTGAATAACGTTATAGCAAAACACCACATGCTAATGCTAACTGTGGATGATATGTCAAAATAACGTTAGCACCGCTACAAGCTGCTCAACCGACCTGACAGTAACTCGTTTAAGGTGCGAAACAGCTGCGGTACATTATACGAGGCGTGTGTCGAAGCAAACACAAAGCAGGTTTGGTTTGGTGGGGTAATTACCTAAAGGTATGCGGTATTGTTTGTTAGGAATAGAGGGCCTGTCAGTTGACAAAGCTGAATCCCCGGTGTTTCCTGAACACACCCACCTGGCACAACAGGAGCGGTTCGAGCAGACGCTGACGTGAGGCTAAAGCTAGCTAAAGTTCTCCTATCTGGGCCTCACCTACCGCAACACAGGACCAAGACCTGGCCAAGGTAATTCTGTTCTGCCATAACACCTACTGACACTGCACATTTTAACAGAGTTGAAACAGCAACAACAAGAAGGAAAATAGAGAGAAGTAAAATAATACCAATTAAAACATTTTTTAAAAAAGCCAGAAACGTTACCGCACCTCTTCGCTTTTGAGAACTTCTTTGAACTCCCGCTTGATCCTTTGGACCGCGATGTTAGCCATGGCTGTCTGCTGAGCTGCTGCTGCCGCCTCGAAGCTAGACCCGGGGCCTCTCTCTCCCTGTGTTGTCTGTCTTGTGTGGGGACTGCCTGCTCGGTGCTTTTTTCACAGTTACGGAGCTCCTTTCACTTTCACCGTCCACCGCTTCTTGTTTATCTCAGATGGAGCTCACCGTTGCCGTCGACCGCCTGCCTGCCTGCCTCCCAGCGCGCAGCGTCAGTCCGTCCAGAACATGCACCCAGCGAGCAGCTGCACGGAGCACAAACTGGAACTTTCATTAATGAGCTCCGGTGACAGACAACATGGGTTTAAGCTCTTTTGAAAACTCGCCTTCAGGACATTTCTCATCATGTGCCGAGCGCACCTGATCGTGTGGCACTATGGTGACTGTCAGGATTTTACATCTGACTGTGTGGGGGATTTTATTTTTGTATGAACTGGAATTAGGAAATAAAAAAGAGTTAACACAAGAGGCTGACAGGTGTAACTGATTTTTTACTCCAGTGGCAGGTCAGACAGGAGATGACATAACTACACAATCACTCCTAATATACCGACTGAGACTTGACAGACATCTACAGATAGGAGAAATTACTAATAACAACTATTTCTTTCTTTTCAAAGTCTACACAGCAGGACTTCATCTGTGATTCATTTTTAAATTATCACAGTAATAAAATAATTACAGCATCTTCTGGAAAAATAAATGAAAAAGTCTCTTAATATATGCAAGAAATTATGTTTTAAGAATATGATTTATTTAAAAAAAAATAATAATCAAAATTCACACTTGATGGCTGAAAAAAAAAATTTGAGTCACTATTACTTTGGGCATAAATTGTGTATGAATAATCCAAACTAAATTATCACTCAACAATGCAGAAAAGAAGAGAACTGCAAGTTGATGAAAATATCAGTCATCTTAGTGATGAAGGCAGAGGAGACAGAGACAGAGCCATTGCTAACTTTTTGGAATCAGCAAAACAGCTGTCTGACAACCTGCAGAAGTTGCAGATTTTAACATACAGAAAAAATATTCAAATTCATAAAATATGATACAATTTCCCAACAAACTTATCTCATCTTCAGCAACAAAGAACACTGAAATGTCTCACACATTATATAATATAACAACACTTAGAAAGACTGCTCTGCTTGGGACCTACTTTCACTTTTGATGCTTAAGCACATATCGCTGTTCTGTACTTTTACAGAACAGAGCAAAAATTAGATAGTTTTATTTAAGTGTGACACTACTTTTTGAAATTGTGACATATTTGAGATATGAGGTATGGCTGAAATAATCTAATGTTTCCTGTATTAAAAAGTAATTGGCAAACAGGTTTTCATATGAAAACTCACAAACCAAATCGCATACTACACTTTTGACTGACTGACAGGCTGGCACGTGGTGAACAAAATAACATTATGTAAAACTGGATAAATTACAAAACATATAGTCAGCTGATGTGCAGAATGCATGGCTGTAGTTTAACCTTTTAGTTAAACGTCCATGTTAAATCCTCATATATTTGTGTATTCTAAAATGGTGGAAGGAGTGTAGAAGTGAAAATGGAAATACTATCATGGAAGTATTTATTATACAGAAGAATGGCCCCTCTTATTGATAATGAAACATAAATTAGAAACTGACGACATGTTTTCTATGTAAAAATACCAAAATTGTGCAAAAGTACCATATTTACTCGTGAAATGTTGTGACATAGAAGTACAAAGTAGCTTAAAATGTTAAATACTAGTGTAGAATTTTAAAGTAATTTCCTAAACTAGAGTATTCGACTGCATTCCAGCATCATATATTGGGTTACACAACTGTACAGATGTTGGAAGTCGATCTGCCTCTGTGTGATGACAGGCAGCTGGACTGTTTGTTTACTATCCAGACGGATTTGTCGTTGCATACTGTGATTGGCCCAAAGACCCGTCGATCAAACGTTTGGACCAATAGGAGACGTTTATCTCGCCCCTCCCGGGACCAGCCCCTCCGAGGTCCCGGATGTCTTTCCGCGAAGAATAGCTGCTCGGCTCACGTGTATTAAACAAAACACAGACGGTGGGTTGACATGTCTGCAGTTTGATGGTCTCTGCGGAGAACAGTCGTGCAGCTCGGGCCCGTTGAAGACGGTTACCGTTTTCTGAACATCGCAAAGCTCAAGTAAGTCGCGTTTTGACTCGGTTCGATGTCACGTCCGTATCCAATAATTAATAGTCGGGGGGGGCAGACACGGCTGTGAGTTTTGTCTGGTTTGGCTGGATGGATTAGCAAGAAGCTAGTTTAACGTTAAGCTAAATTACTTCTAAAGCAAAAACAATGTTAATGCAAAAGTCCAGCGTGGGTTAATGAAGAGGCGGTAACAGCTGCCTTTGATTGGATTTCATAAACTGGCAACCGGGTTTGTGTTTTCGTCCCTGGACAAATATGCAGGCTGACACCCATGGAAAATATAACGTGTCCGTGTTAAATGCTATAACTACTGCAGCCTAATGCAACAGTCCTGCATTGAATCCTGCATTCAAAATGCGGTGCTTTTGTTTGAACCATCCGAGAGAGGCGTTGATTCAACTGTACGAGTTGCTGTTGAACTGTGTTGATTTATACAGAGGCATGTTTCTGTTAGTCTACTGTCATTTATGTAAATAGGGATGAGAAAATAGGAGAAGCACCTCCTGTTGGTATAAGCCAATAGAGTTTCAACAGCACTACCAACTACGGCCTTCAAAATGGCCATAAAGTTGATTCGATCCTCCTCTTTTCAAGAAGAACTTAATATAACCCTCATGAGCGTTTCATTTATTGCAGAACCTTTGCCTTAGGCTGAGTTTGTTTTAGCCAGGCAATTGTCATAAACTTAAGTCAATTATAACGTGTTTGACTTTTGACGTTATTGTGGTACAGACTACAGCTGGACAAGTGAATTAAAGGGGCCAATATTTTGGTTAGGCTGGTTGGCTACAGGAAAATGAAATAAGAAGAAACCTAAAAAACCTTTAAAAAAATTTTTTTCTAAGCCCTTTTCCAACAACTTCACTCAATGCTGATTAAGTCCATCAGAACCCCGTAAATCTCTGTATTTTGCTGTATACTGTAGTTTTAAATATGGTGCCTGTGGTCACATTTCTGCGCTGTTGCACCAGTAATGATGTGCTTCACGTCAACCAGCAATGACTGGCATGTGAAGACATGAGCAACCATAGCAATGGCAGAGAGACAATGGAGCCTATGACAGAAAAACCTAGGATGTGTCCAACAAAAGTTTCTGATGCTTCGGATTATAAGAAACTTTACATTTACAGGAATGTTTGGAAACTAAAAAAACATTGGTCATAAGGTTATGTTGACAGTGTTTGTGAAATTCTTACTGCGAGACATTGCAGATAAAAGTTTCACAAGACAGGATTAACGTAATTTTGTGGCACTGAGTCCATTGCATATTTTTTGGTGGAAAGTGACTATCTTTCAACAGGGAAGTATACTACTCTGTACCTATCTTGGATATTATCTCTTTAAAAGACCAAGTACAAGTGTCTTCTGAGAAATTATTATGTATGGTCATGTAAAAAAAGAAAGAAGCAAAACTGAGCAACATGATGTTATGGAAAGGTACTCTCTTATTTCAATATGGGTGTAAGCTTCAGAAATTTAGTGTCATTTGAACAGCTATGATTAGCCGCCTGTGTGCTTAACGGTTTTTTTGTCCCCTACAACTAATGCCAGACCTTTTGATAATTCGTTTTTGTTGGCAAATTCTATCAGACAGAATCCATTCCTTTCTTCTTCAGAGTAATAATTGCTCTCTTTCATCTGCACCTCCCTCCCATAATGACAGCTGGGTGTCAAGTAATGAGATAAGTTCTTGGAATTATGAGCCACTTTAATGGCAGGCTCTTTGCATGCAGACTCTTAATTGGCTTAATATTGAAGTCAGGTGCATCATAAAATACAGTTCAAACCATAGTTGTTAATGAACAGGGGCTGCTAGAATCAACTCTAAAATATGTATACGTTGATGTTAAAGTCCTAAATTGATTTTTAAAAATTAAGGCAATTTTCAGTAAAGTCACAAACATTCGTCAGTTAAATTTTATTTACAGTATTAAACAGAAATGAGCACACCTCTGTGCAATATCACTTAAATGTCAAAAGTCAGTAGTTGCATCCTTTCTGAGTTGGCAATTCTTCAGTTTTTCCTCTTGTCAAAAAATCTAAAACGGACACTGTATGTATGGAAAATACAGGCCTCAAAGTAGAAACTCAGTTCAACAAAAGTCAACACACCCGTGATCACTGACACGCAAGTCTGAAAACCAGCGATCACTGAAGCAGAACTGAGTACACATGAGTTCCAATTAGCCTATCTACATGAGTGTACAGCTCAAGTGATGCCATAGATTGTACAAGCAGTACACTATTTAGCTCTGAAGACCTGTCAGGTAGCTGCTTTATACTTGGCACAGAGACTATCAAAAGGAAACCCAAGTTTCTATGACAGTCAAGACAGTTTGGAGGACGCTCTATAACATCAACTGCATCCGGGCTGAGTGTGAATATTCCACAATACTGGTTGAAAAGATAACTCCCAGTCTCTAGATACTTGACAAAAGAGGAAGATGCTGCCAAAGTCCCACGAGTTTCTAAAGAAGAACAAAGTGAAAACAATTACCCGGCCAAGTATGTGACCTAACCTGAATCCACTAGAACACCTTTGGGATGTTTTAAAGGGACAAGCAGAACAACATCACCCCTCCAACAAAGAGCAGTTGAAAAAAATGTCTTTGAAAAATGACAGAATGTCTCTTCAGAAATCTGGTACCCTTCATGCTGAGGAGAGTTGAGTTTGTCTTTAAAAATAAAGGTGGACATATGAAGTATTGAAATAATAAAAGACTTGAATGTCAGCAATGACAGCTGCACTGACTTTAGTTGCATTGAGTTTTTACTGTGGGACCTGTATTTCTAATGTAATTAACCTAAACTGTTCATTTGTAAATTTACATGAGAGATATTGCCCTACTGTTCAGTTTTTAATGCAACTACTGTAAGGCATTTAAGTAATTTTGCACAAAGCTGTACTTAGTCCTGTTGTAATCTGTATTTCTGATCTCACTTTCACTTTTATGGTCGTTACAATGAAATGTGATAACCTATACTGATTTGACCGGCATAATACGGGCTTTTGTACATGTTCAGCAACAGCTAGAAAACATAAATGCAGTCAAAAAATCCAGCTTTGTCTGTTTACATGCAGAAAGATAATACTGCCACAGAGTAATGCTGACTGTCTCGAGCTGAACAGTCTCCTCCCCTAAATCTGTGTGTGCTTGTGGAACAACAATACAGCAGTACAGCAAGAGGTGGCATTAGGTTTCTCTCACTTGTTCATTTATGTCCTAGTTACAGACAGCATTTTTGTTCCAAAGTGGATACAGTCTGGTGAGAAATGGCAGAGGGAGGCTTTGACCCTTGCGAGTGCATCTGCACTCAGGAGTATGCTATGAGGCGCCTCATCAACCTGGTAAGCCATGGAACCGAGAGTCTTTCAATGTCACTTGAAATTTAAGTTTCAGATTTGATTATGGCGGAGTTGAGGGACAGGTCAAAGTATTCCAAGTATGTAATGTGAAGTGAATATGACGCTGGCTAAAGTCGAGAGACAGAAGAAAAGATGTTCAAGTTGCAAGTAAATGAAAGTCTGTAGAGGAGGGGAGAAGGAAATGAAAAGCTACTGAGTGACACTAAGCCAACACATTCTGGTTCCTACTTGTTTATCTTGATCCTATCAGATCTGCGATGCAAAGACATTTTACTTTGCTGCACTGTGGCTGTAAGATTTGCATTGAGCTTGAAAATATACTTCTCTTAATGCAACGGGTGTTGTCAGAGAGGTTACCTCATTTACTTTTTTGCACAGGTGTAACTTGCATGGCACGTTGCAATTGGCTGAGAGCTTGAAACCACCCTCTGAGACTTCTGATTTGCTTACAGGATAAAGGGTGTTGTCCAAATACCTGCGCAAGTTGCATAGCTTTTGCCTGTCATGGCTGTACAGTATATTTCAGGAAGCAGGCAGAGGCCAGCAGGTTGTTTTGCAAGGTTAAAATTTGAATATGTGCTCGATATTACACACTATTGCTAATGTAATCTTGAAGTCCAGGTTTATGAAGTACAGTTTAGTAGCCTGTGTGTTTATTGCCCATGTGTGTTTTTTCTCTTCCCAGATGGGGACAGAGGTGGTCTATAATTTGTCCTTCTGTAATTTTCTTTCAGCTCAGGCAATCTCAGTCCTACTGCACAGACACGGAGTGCCCTCAGGAATGTACGTATGCCCACTGTTTAGTGTAGTTCACATCTGACCTTGTGTGTTTTTTGTCATAATGTCACAGCATGTAGAAACTGGAACAAGCTTTCAGAGGAGAAATAATAGATCACGTATGTGTATTTTTTTGTTTGTTTGTTTGTTTTTTGTCTTCAGTGCCAGGTCCTAGCGGGTCAGTGGGTGGAGGTGACCTGACCCTCCCCATGTTTCTTATGGGATGGATGGTGGTGGCTCTGGTCCTGTTTCTACTGCGCCCATCCAGTCTCAGGGGTGCCCGTCCGACAGGAAAACCCACTGGACCCCACAATGTCAGTACCGATCACACTCATTTTATATAACAAGGACATCTCAAATGTTAAAAGTTAATGCTCTGCCTTTGCTTTTACCTTAACACTCAAGCACCACATGCACAATGAATCAAAATGCACCAGTAAATTTGGTTTTATCAGGGAGAATCCCTTCCTCTTAAATTTGAATAAAACACAACTTGTTTATTTACACATTAACCTAGTTTTAAAAATGCTGATTAAGATTGATTTAAGTAATCAATAATAATAACAAAAAAATGAGCACTTAAAATGATTTATTGTAGTTATCAAGCATATCTCCTGTAAAGTTAAAACTATTTACTGCCATGTTTTTACAGATTTTCAGAGAAGTTCATGTTAAAAAGAGAAAAAGTCTTTGGGTACAGTGTGTACTGAAGAGCAAGAAGGGCTGGCAACCGCAAGAGGGAACATGTAATTAGGAAAAATAAACCATAAGTGCTTTTGGTAGCGACCACACACTCAGCACATAAACACATGTAATCAAGAACTTTTATCAGACTGATAAGACACCTGGTGAAGCACTGAGCAATACTTGGTACTCCTCTAATCATCCTCTATATATTTTTATGTATCACTCAATGTCTTTACATGCGCTGAAATTACCAGGGTACAGTCAACTTTTTCATTCAGCTAATTTCTTAAATGTCATGTAAACAGTTTTTTTTAATGTCTGATCAGGTTAGGGGATTAGAGAAACCTGATATCTCCTGGAGAATGCAGATTTCTCTGTCATTTATGATGATATATTGCAGACGTGCAAAGTTACACCAGCTGGATGAAGGAGAAATAGTTACAAAGCAATGAGTCCCCCTAATTAAAGTGATTCCAACTAAAGTGTAACTGAAACTAACACAAAAGCCTCCAAATAAGTTAGTTTCCACCACTGGCACCTTCTCTGCATGAACTTTTTAGATGCCATGTCAGGGTCATGAAATTGGTGTAGTTCAAAAGAAAGGAAGAATCTCTTGAACTTTCTCTTTATGTTTAGTGTACATTGTTTGCAAGCGTCTCTCTTTCCTTTGTTGGTAATCCAGTGTAATAACAGTCATCCATCAGGCAAATGTTGAGACTAATTCCAAGAACTGGTGAGCTTCTCTTGAAGTGTCTTCGATATTCCTGACACGCTCATGAATGTCAGTATTGAACTGCTTTTCCCATTGTTGACACTTAATGCTCCTAAGCATCATCAATTTTTCTCCTAATGGTTCATTAACCATCAAACCAAGCATGGTTTTACACGTAGGTCTATCTCCCCTCACTCCAGATAGTGTCCAGTGGTTCCAGAGTCTTCAGTCCATCTGATGACCGTTCCTCAAATGAGGCCATTGATCAATATTTTGATCTTTTAGGGTATTTTTGTGCACAGGCGTACTCCTGAGTGTATACGCTTGGCAGATCATATAAATCAATGCTGTCAAGTTCAGCATCCTCAAGGCTTGAAACAGTGCTGATTTCAACAACATTCCTTTAACAAATAATTCTCAATAGAATATTTTATTGTCTTTCCTGAGAATTAAGTTCATTTTTTTGCCCCACTGTGCAAAACGATGCAGCGCTGCCTTGGCCAAGAAATGCATAAGTATGCACAGCTGAATTCCCATTCCTGGCCTTACTTTTACAGGCGCTTTTGGGGATTTTGCAACTCGGTGGCCTCAGTAAAAGCACTTGTCTGAACACAGGCTGCAGTACTGTCTGCAGCTGCCTACTTTACTTCTGCTCGCTCCTTGACCATTTCCTTCTTACTTTGGTTAATATGCAGCATTCTGGGAGACTTTAAACTGCATATGTTGCAGCTGAGTCACTTCCTGCAGTCTTTGCTGATGTGTGCTTTGCACAGACTAGCCAAAACATACTTCATTCTCTTTTAGGAAAGCAATTTTGTCCTCATTTCCAACTGTGGACACCTCTCCAAAGCATGACTACAGAACAGAACGGCTCTATTAAACCCTTTCCTTAGTTCCCTTATTGTTTTTCGGCAAATATGCTTTCTTTTATTCTTGCGTGAGGCTGTGACTTGAACCTTCTTACATCTTGGCTCACTGTAGGAGCATCTTTGATTTCAAAAAAATGATAATCTTCCCTTTCCTTTGAGGAAATCCACCATATCTTTACAGGTAGCTCTTCAGTTGTGTTATGTGCCTGAAAATCCCAATTCTCCTTTGAATTTTTAAAATTTACTTCTTTATTATGACTAGTGTATAACAGGCATGTGAAAGCATTTAATGAACATTTGGTCACTCTCAAAAACTAGAAAATAAAAAATAAATAAATCTCCTTGGTCATTAAGGAGAGACGCTGTTGCTGGATTAATAATGCAGTGATGTTGCTTTGCTTTTCTATGATGGAGAATGTATTTCTTTGGGTACTATTGCATGAAGCAGATAATGTAGCGAGATATGTCACATTTATAGCTGCATGGAGTGTCAAAGGAGCTGCATAAAGAGATTGGATTAGAGTTGTAAATATTAGTGTTTCTGAATTGGTGCATCATGCTTTGGTAGGATTTGTCCATGTGTGTGCTTGTCTTGTAAGTTTGGTTCAAAAAGATCTACTTTAACATTAAGTGCTTCCTTTTCCTGCTGTCCTTTCTCAAAATATGACTCCACACCATCAGACACTTTAGATAATTTACTTTAAGCACTGGATCTCTTTGAGACTCCCGGTACCTTTTTTTCCCAGCTCCAGCTGTTCCTTTTTCCCCCTCAGCTGCTCCTTCTATTCTTCCAAGTGTTTCTCCCTAAGTAGTTTTTGTTGTACCATGTGAGCAGCTACTTCATCCTCAGCAGTTATACATTCAGACGTAACACTTCAAACTCTGGGGCTTGAGCCAGGAGAACTTTGTTTGCTTCCAACGTTTGACTTACTGTCACTAAGTTGGTTGCATGTCATCCTGTATGCTGGACGTTGCCGTAATGTTTGACTGGTAGGAGAGAACGTCATGCTGAGCATAAGTGTGGTAATTTTATCCTTTAATTTGACAGGTGCCTGGCAGGAAATGAGAGAAATGCCTGACTTTGCAGGAGTATATCTGCAGCGACATGACACATTTGCAAAAAGAGTCTCCTAGTTTAAAAGTCATTGTTTAATACCTTCTGTTGTGTCTTTTCATGCTTTCAAACCAATCACTGCAGGTTTTTTGTTTGTCATCAGGGAACAATACAATAACTAATTCTAATGCGAGCCCTTTAATTATTTTCACATTTAATTGACATTCCCTTTGAAGAGTTTCAGTTTTCCCGCCAACACTTGGCTGCAAATGTGACCTTCCTCCTCCTGTCCTCTATTTTATCAAAAATATGCAGCAGTAAATAAAATGCCACTTAACAGATGAACCACATTCACAATAGGTCAACAGCTCAACCTTGTTGTGTTTTTTTTAGTTGTTGTTTTTGGGGGGGGTTTTTTCCCCCATCTCAACAGAGCATGACAGCCACAGAGTAACAAGCAGTCAAATTGGCCCAAAACCAAGCACACATGAGCCAACACCTACAGTCCCCAATGGACAAGCAGCCATGAGCAGTTTGGCTCATTTTCCAAACTGTGGTCAAACTTGCATCAAATACACAAAGCAAATCAACACAAACCAACCAGCACCAAACACAACATTGGTGGCTGTGACATGCTGCTATAAACAAGACTGTGGCAGCAGTCAAATACATGTTTTGGAATGACTTCTCTAGTCCAAATGTTCCAAAATTACCATTCAGTCCCCAACTCTGAGCTCAAGCAGTCCATATGATCAGTCAAAGCAGAATCTAGTCCATGCAGGATAGGTTGTAGTGTAGAGGGTCTTAACTGTGATCTGATTGTAAAAAAAAAACAAAACAAAACATACTGATTTCCAGATAAGTTTTACACTGTCTATTACATAAAAGAAAGGACCACCAGCAGTAGTTGGCAGTAGATGTAGTAGTTGGCCTCTTGATTGTTGTCTAAAATCTTTCCATACAGGTAAACAGGTAAATATTGTGAAACCACACCCCGATGCCAGTTACTGGAAGTGATGGTAACCAAAAGAACACCTGCAGCCAAAATAAATAACAAGCAAAACAGGATAAATTCACATTTTGGTTCCTACAGTCTGCCTGCCTGCCTGTCTCAGTGTGATATAAATCTGCAGGAAATCAGGACTAACGCAGCACTTTCTCTCTGTAAATAACCCGTGCTTCCAAAATAAGGTCAGGTGTAGAAATCAGACCTGCTGAAAGTACACAAATTTACAGTGACCAGGTTATCACAGTGCTTGTAAACACGTTCTCCGGTTACCCATGTGACCTGATAACTCCTAACTTACCTCGTTGCTGAAGTACTTCCAGACACACTGATGCATTTTTGATTTTTTTTCCCCCTACATGGTTACTGCTCTTGCTAATCTTATAGTGACATTATTATTATTATTATTATTATTATTATTATTATAAATAATAGTAATAATTATAGTAGTAATAATACATTTTATTTAGAGGCACCTTTCTCGGCACTCAAGGACACCGTACATACATTACACAAATCGATTAAAAGAAACAACATTAAAAATAAGTAAAATCACTAAATTATACAGACAGTACAATAGGCTAGAAGGAGTAGGCAGTCCTAAACAGATGAGTTTTGAATTGTGATTTGAATTGGGGGAGTGAATCGATGTTTCTGAGTTGGGATAACAATGAATTCCAGAGACAGGGAGCAGAGCGGCTATATGCTCTGCTCCCTGTGGTAGTGAGACGGGCGGAGGGGACAGACAGGTGTATGGAGGAGGAGGGAGCGGGAGGGAGTGTGAACATGGAGGGCAGAGAGGTATGGGGGGGGCGAGGTTGTGAATGGCCTTAAATGTGAAATTTTAAATTGGATGCGGAACTGAAGTTTATGCTCTTCTTCTTCTATTCTAATATTTAAAAATGGTCTGTGCATTAAAAGCTGTCTGTCATGTCTGGAAACTTCGTCTTATGTCATCAAAGTCTAATGAACAGTGCACTTTTTTTTTGTGGTTGTTTTTACTTTATCATACTTTACTTGTGTCCTGTGTGTATTTTTAAAATATTTTTAGTCTCATTCATTCAAGGCGGCAGCAGTGTTACCAAATAGAGAAATCATTTATGCAGTTGCTATGTTAGGTCCATATTTATAAGGATGAGCCTCTCCCAAAGCTAGGAACCTAGAAACTAAACATTTACTCTGTAAAGCTGACCACAAAGTAACCTGGAACTCTATTTTAACACTGACTCAGACCCTGGGTGTTTGAAACCTAATAAAATTGCAGATGTCTTAAGACAGTCATATGGGACAGTATGTTCCCCCCTTGTCGTCATGATGTTGGATTCAGGATGTGCTTATTGGCTGCATCAGCCAGATTGTTTGCTTGTTTCTGTTGTAAAAAATGAACTTCTCCTTGTTTTGGTTTGCAGAGCGATAGAAGAGAGCCCCCAGCACCACCGGTTGATTAGCACTGGAGCCAGACTACCGGCTATCATCCACCTGCTCTGACTGCAGCCGCACAGTTAGTTAGTAACTGTGACCAGGACAGCGTCATCTCCCTGTCAACCTTCATTCACATATCTTTTTCTTTTTTCCTCTTCTAACGCCACTGCAGATCTGTCTTTGACTCTTGATACTAGAGCCCAACTGATGCTGGAGTTATGAGGCCAGTACAGATGTGCCATTGAATTTAATAATATAGAGGTTGATAATCATTTTCTTACATAAACACACAATATATATACCATCTGCAGTTATTCGGCTTCCACTTTAGTTTTGGTTACCTTAGCGGCATTTATCAATAGATATCACGTGGAATTTAATAACGGCATACAATTTTAGCAGAAACACACAACTATTAGCATATATGTTGCATATCGGCTAGCATATATGCTAATACCACGGGCTGTCAGATAACATTGGCAAAGTTAAATATCAGTTGGGCTCTATATGACACTTCACCAAGTCTTAAACCATGAGGTGTGGCTTTGTTTGGAGTTCGTCCCTGATCCCAGCTCTGGTGCTGACACATCTGCAGAAACTCGGACGTGAACTCAAAATGAAGGAACATGTCACATGTTTGGGGGGTAGAAGGAAGGGGAAGCAAAGAATTCCCTGCTGGGTGGTTAAATTGTTGTTCCTGTGCTTTCTGAGTAATGAATGGTGGCGGGTTCTTCAGTTTTTTTCTGAAACATTCCACTCTTTCTAGTTTAAAGTTTAAACTCTAAACGGTGCCAGTCATGATGTCATATCACATAAGTAGTTAATGGCATATTTAAACCAGCAGAATGACAGAATTTAATACGCTTATTTGATTAGCTTACATTCTGAATTTCAATAGGATTTTATTTACAGTAAAATTGTGTTAATGCAGTGAAATAGTCCTGTATGTTTACATTTAGGCCTCAGTTAAATCACATACATGCCGAAGCCAGCAAATAGTCAGGTCTGCTATGTAAACTGGATTTCCAAGAATAACGTCTTGGTTACCGTGGTGTGTGTGATTGAGATGGCAATACATTTGCAATAAGTTATTAGTTAATCTAGAAAGTGTGAGCAAAATATTTGAAGCACAGGAAACAGTTATTCTCCTCAGTCATAAGAGGTGCAAGTGAGTTTAAAGAATATTAAAAGCTCACAGATTCATTTCACAAAATGAAATGAATTGCAGGCATGCAGATGGAGACAATAAACTCGGCACGGACAAGATCAGTTTGTCATATTAAGATGACTGTGTGTACTGTAATTTTGGTGTGGTTAGAAGAAATTTCTGTAGACACAAATGTAAGTAGCCAAAAATTTATTTCATTAGCACTTTTGTTCATTCCTTTTTGAAGGTCTAATGTAGTGATTCAGGTGTCTGAACAATGACAGCAATCCAAAGTTTCTGCTTCACAACTTCTATATCGTAGCATGTCAAACTGATGAGTAGTGAATGAGTGAAAATGTGTTTTAACAGTGCCAATGTGAATTTGTGGCTCAGAAATTGAAAGAACGTTTTGTGAAAAACAGCAATATGAGGTCATTTGTATTTTGTGATGGAGAAACGAGGAGAGAATGGTCCGCAATCATGTTTATCTTTCTTACATGTATCTTTTTGGGAACATTATTCAGTGATACAGCAGCCATGTCTACAATACAGAAACACTGATTCCATTTTAGTTACCCACACATAACAGAATCATTCAACCCACATATTCCCAGAGCCACTGACTGAACAATCACATTGGATCCTGCAGCTGAGAGATTCCACTTCACTATATAATGATATAACAAAAGTAACATTTATCACTATGTGGTTTACACTACAAGGGTATGTTCTTGCAGCATTCCTTGATTATTTACTTGGTCCAGAACTTTGCTACGCGAATGATTCATTTAACATCTAGTTAATTTTATAGAAGATTTATCAGCAAGAACAAGGTTTTAAAAGAAATCTGTGACCAGGAAAATATGAACGATGACAAATTGTGTTTGTTTACCTAACCAACTACACACACGTACAACAGGCTTACAAAGTTACAGAAAGGAATCCACCCTCTTTTAAAACAAACTGAAGAAATTGATATTATCTGTGTGTGTCTGTTATTGGCTGTTATATTACATCACACAGCAGTACTGTTTCTCTAGTGTCAAATGTGATCACCTATATCGTGCAGTACTGTGTATGTATTAGGAAGAGTCTTTCTTTATCACAGCAAAAGTTTAAAATCATGACATGATTTGTAACATCTGTGGGCCAAGTTTATCTTCATTTCCATATCAGCAAATGTTCTCTGAACTTTTTGTACTTTCTAGAGTCCTTTGGGTGATGGCAGGGAAGAGCTAAAAGAAGGAAAGTGTTGTGTAAACCTTACATGTTGTATATAATGCAGTGGGGAAGCCATACTAGATCACTGAGAAGAACAAGTGGACTGTCTGGTATCACAGGAGACCTCAATTTACACTGTTACTGTCTAAGAGTAAAAGGGCTTCAACTATGCACTTTTCCTACAACAAAAGAAAAAATTAAAAAAGACTTTAGTCTTACTGCTTGTCTGTGTTTTGTTGGAATCAAGCACAACTTTGTCTATGTATCTGAACACTGTATTTTGTGTCTTAAATTAGTCCTGCTGAAACATTACACATGTATACAGAAGTGAAATTTTCCTCCGTGAATGCATCAAAGCAATTTAAGTGTATAACCAGTGTTGAAAAAAAGTTAAGTTTAATAATTATTCTACATTTTATTCCATCACATTTACAGCTTAAGTTAAGAGTCATTTTCCAGGTTTTGTTTTACCATAGAAAACAGGTGGTACTTGTTCCACATTAAACTACCCCTAGATCAACCACAAGATGAAAACAATGCTTGCATGTCAGTACATTAGTAGTAATGCAATTTTGAATGCAGGACTTTCACTTGTAAAGCAGTATTTAAAATTATGGCATTTCTACATTTACTCAAGTACATGGCTTGACTCCTTCCACTAAACTGCAGGATACAGTGGTATATTGGTTTGCAAATGATAGATACTTTAGTACACACTTGCAGCTGTAGATGTAGGGTTGTAAGTGACTGACAAAATAGTCTTTATTATGCTAAAATGTATTCAGATGTTCAATTGAGGATCCAGAAGTCCGAATTAGAAAAATCAAGTAGCCATATTTCAGAGATGTAGTCTCTGTCACATACTGTCACATTGAATTAAATTGTGTTTGTAGGTTGTTGTTTTTTTTTTTAAACATCTAAAAATAACAGGAGGAATGACTACACCAAGAAACATTATTTCAGTTTTCATATGTAAGCCTGACTGTCATTGTAATACATGCTCCTGTACCTCCTTTACCAACAGCTCCACAGTCTTGACTTGGTTGGGTATTCTTCCGGGCATGCGCAGTGTTAAACCGGATACGTTTCCCTGGGTAACCGTCAACAACTCCGTTAGCTTTCAGCAGCTAGGTTAGTTTGGTTTTAGGTTTGTAACATTTATCACCAGCTTTATGTTGTGTAGTGAAGCACACGAGAGTCGTATCACAACCAAAGTCTGCATAACGCTAATTTAACTAGAATGACAGAGGAGGAAGCTAATGACTAAAAAGCTTGAGCTAACACTAGCTAGCATGCTAATATCAGTGCGCGCAATGAGAAGAAGCTATTTATAGTTTTCATGATGACAACTCGGGACTTTACGACACTGGCTTACACGATAAGCCCAAAAACATCGAAAAGAACAACATTTCAGGTAAGAGCTTCACTGCATGCAGTCTCGATATGATACCAAATGAGAAACGTTTAAGGGACTGGATTAGTTGAACCTACAGTCCCCTGGAGTCTGTTATGAAGTATCTTGTTAACCTGAAATTATGTCGTTATAGGATGAACTTCAGGCTGCTGTGTCTGTCAGGGCAAGCAAAACTAAAACAGTTCAATACTCCAACTATGATGACTTTGATGAGGATGAAGATGGTAAGATGGTAGAGAGTCAAAATATCTACACTAAACAATTACACAAACACAGCATGCAAATGGCCTTCTTTTTCTGACTTAGAGAAAAAGGTAAAAATCTATTTTTTTTTTATTGTTGTGTTTAGAAAAGGGTTAAAGTTGGTCAATTGTGCATAGAAAGGTTTTGAGCTGTTCAGCTAGTGACACTTCTTCAACCATTGAATTAATCTACACACTAGTCAGGTGCTGCTTTATAGGCAGTGATCAGATAGAGTAACCAGTACACTGACAATCCTTTTACTCGTAACTAACAAAAACTTTGTTAAAATGCAGCTTTATTCATGTGACGCAATGCCACAGATGACAACATACAGAAGATAACAGGCTGTTGGCATGCTGGATGCTGGCATGTAGGTTAGGGACGTAGTCAGGCACTTGAATGTCCACAACTCCACCATTTATGTTCTAAGAAATCATTTCCAACGGTATGGTACAACAATCTGCCAAATTGTCCAACAGGATCCTGTCTCCCAAAATCACTACCAACTTCACCAAGCCTTTCAGTAAGAGTGGAACAATATTTCACATGTCAACATTGGCAACCCTTATTAACATTCAGATGTACTGACTTGCAATAAATCTACTCTCAATTTGCCAATTATCATTTTCAATATAGAGCGTCCTTGGTTATTTTATGACAGCTATTCTGTTTTACAGATGTTTTAGAGATAGAGGTGTGTTGCGAAAACAAATACTTACTCCCTTGTGTTAAAAAGAATGGCTGTAATCTAATAAAAATATCACATCGCATTTATGTTGAGGTTCAGTATAAGTAAGACTAGTTTGTACAGAAAAACTCCACAACAACCTGAATAAGAAATTTGAGATAAGATTGCTTTGTCAATTTAGTTTAATGGTTGACTCGCATTTCTGTGTTTCAGATTTTTTAAATGAACTCCTCAAGTCAAGAAAAAAGAGGAATGATGCATTGAAGGCTGGGAAGAGCAAAGCCAAAACAAACACCTTTGAGCTCTCAGATGATGAAGACAAGCATAGCAGGACAAAAAAAGTTTCATTCCTGAAATCACAAAGAATCAGCTCTCCTTCAAACGACACAACAGCATCAGAGTCGCATGAAAACGAGCCACCGGACTCCTCCACTGCTGAACACATTAATCATAATGGATCCTTTTCCTCACAGCACTCCAAAAATATCAGTGAAGATAGCACACAGTTCAAAAACAGTGCTGCAGGGTCTATCGATCATCAAATCACAAGAGAGAACTCAAGTAAATCTCTCTCATACCAAACATCAGATGATACTCTTCTGGACATGTCTTTGCCTTTACCGTCTGATGGCAGCATGATTGAAACTCCAGCTCCAGTGGAAAAGATGAACTCTCTTGGGGAAGAAAGCTCTCAGACTCCGCAGTTGTCAGCATCTGGCCTCGATCACGCAGCTTCAGCAGGTCTGTTTAGAATATAGTGTTTTCATAAGAACATAACAAGCTGTGCCTCTAACTATCAGTGCATATTTAGCATTTACTTTATCTATCATTCAGATTGTTGTACAGAGAGGGAGCCACCTAGACCCAAACCGCGACAAAGGACTCTTGGATTGAGTGTTCATGCAACCCAGAAGTTAACTGAAGAAACTACATCTCAGGATCTCAGCAGGCCCCAGACTTCTTCTGCATCAATTCCCCTCTCAAGTGATACATCCAGCAACATTGCCATAAGGAGCTGCAGTCCACAAGTGTGTCTCCGTTATTGGTTATTCAGTATTTTAGGTTTCAAAGTAACAAGTAACATTCCCTTATCAGAGCATGTTTGTGATGTTGTTTTAATACAGTGGACAGAAGGAGATTACACAGCTTCATGTAGCCCCAGCAAATCCCCTTCAAATAAGAGTGAACACTCACAACTCTTTACCAAGTCTACAGTTGATTCTGGATCCCGAGGTAATAATCTTCATGTTCAATATTTTTTAATTGTAGCTTTCTGTCACTAATCCACTTGATATTTGGTTTATTGTTTTAGATGGCTTCATTTCTGATGAGAGCAAAGATCAAGCGAGAAAATACTCTACATCATTTGAAGAATTTAATGTAAGACACATTGGACTTTGTCTACAGTCACGTTGATCTTTAGTGTCATGTTAGACATAACGCTCCTCTAATTCTAAGTATTTCTAGTTTTTGTAAATTTGTCTATTGTTTTTCTTTCAGGAATGCTCAGGCAATCATTCAGATCAGCTCTCCCATGCCCCTGAAAAATCATTTGACACAAGGTCAGTGAGAAAGCTGCACTCAGAGCTCCATGTCTAAACCAGGATGATTTTTATCTCACTGTAGTTTTGGTTTATCTTAATTAGGACTTCAAGTTCACAGAGACCCCAAAGTGTGTGCTCTAAGAAAGTGGAATCAAAGTATTTGGGGAGTCTCAAAGTTCTGGACCGTAAAGTCTCACTACAAGAGTCTGAGCTGCAAGCAGCAGATTCACTCAGAGCTGCCATTTACCAGGTCAGTGTGATAGCGAGTCTCTGTAGTCTTTCCTAGTATTATTATTACAATCAGCAACACGGCAGAGAAAAGCACCATACAAGTTTACATTGCAACAGTTAACAATCTAGACAGTGCTTTTCTGATTTCTTTGTTGTGAAGGACAATTCATGGTCAATGTGGTACTCACTTCAGGAGCACTGTCCACAAGACCTCCATCGTGACGCAAACACAGTACAGATATTGGAAACACAGAGGATGGTGAACTTTTGCAAGAGGTGAATTTCTGCCACCTCAAACCAAGATCCTGTTCAGATGTTATTATCTGATGTCAGGTGCAGAGAAAACAATTTTGAGTTGGAAATTTTGAAGTGAGTGCTTCCTAATTTTCAAGTGTTTGAGAAGCATAAATCTCATTTTTATACTCAACATCTGGACATGATGGCTGTGCATGTGTTTTTCACACTGATCATTTACGTCAGTAGAGGGCATCAGAGTATCTGTAGTAAAATCCCTGCTTACTCCTACCAGGAATGGCTTAAAAAGAAAAAGGAAAAGTCAAAAGAGAGCATGCAACTAAAGAAGAAGGATGAAATTCTAAAGGAGAAAAAGAAAAAGGTGAATATTATTTTAGTAGACGGACTACAGAACAACTTCTCCCTTTGTAAAGATTACTGCGGAGCCCCAAAAGGGACATTGGCAGATTTATTTATTTTTTTAAATGTAGTTTCTCGTGTGCATGCAAAACTATCTCGTGCTGAGAAAGTTTCTTGTGCGCACAATTTCATAAAAATTATGAAAATGTTTTTTTTTTTCAAACTGACAGGTCTAGTATGAGCTTCTATTGTGGCTGGACAGAGTTTCATTGGTGTACAGTAGAGTACAGTGACGTTATTGAAATTAATATTAATAAAAATTCATAAAAAAATATGAAAATGTATATATTTTTTGTGAAACCAAATATTGTAGTATGATCAGGAGAAGAGAAGTGACAGCTGTAGTGATTTGGTGACACTGCAGTGAATACCAGTGACGTTATTAGATATTTTTGTACTGTGTGTGTTCGCTGTAGCAGCAGTGTTGCAATTTGCAGACGGTCCCTGCGCTCTGGTCGTACAGCCAGCTGCACATAGAGACCAATGTTATTTCTGCTGCACGAAAAACAGCTGCTTTTGATAAAAAATGATCATGTAGTTTATTGTCCACCTCACACTGATGATAAAGAGGCATAATTTGTGTATTGATGACGTTTCGTTAAAGAGTTATTGATGCCGGAAGTCCAAATCTGTGAATATCTTTCCAACTTTACCGAAGTATAATCGAGTCTAATAATAGACTGCTGGTCTATTGTGTGCGCCTACAGTGTGTAAAAAATGCGGGAATTTCGCGTGCGGCTTACACGAAAGAAACTACATAAAAAAAGAAATCTGCCAATGTCCCTTTAGAGGCTCCGTAGATTACAAAGGATACATGGTGATTTAACATCAATGAATACTGCTCACCATTCTTCTGTAAACTCACAGGAACAAGAGGCTAAAAAGGAAGATGCGGTTGCATCCTATGAAGCTTGGAAAGAAAAGAAATCAGAAACTCTCAAAGCAAAAGCTAAAGAAAGGCAAGATGTGATTAGAAAAGAACAGAGAGCGGCTGAAGAGAAAGAAGAAAAAAGACAGTCTGCTGCACAGGTAAAGAGCTTATTGTGACTTGTGAAAGCCATAGTAAGCATTTTTCTGTGTAAATGTGATGGTAATCATTATTTTAATATTAATTGAAGGTGTTTGAGAAATGGAAACGAGAGCGTGATCGCCTACTAAAAGAAAAGCACAGAAAACAGAAAGAAGCTGAAAATAAACTGAAGGTAAAAAAGCAAGAAACGGAGGAAGAAAGAAAGCGAGACAGCAAATCTGCTTTTTCTGACTGGTGAGTGTAGATCACTGACCGTATTTATTATTATTTGTTTTTCTTATTTATTTAGAGATGATGAGACAATACATCTCTTTGTGTACCGGCCTTTAGTGATAGAAAATGACACATGTTATTGTCTTTTAGTGGCAGAGTGGCAGGAATTCATGTCTGGATTATAAACATTTAATTGTGGTCTGAAAGTAAACTTTCTTACCCCTTCAACATAGACATATTGCATTTCAAATAGCTGCATTTATTAAACAACTTGTGGATGAATTGTAAGATAATTGGCCTCTGGACATGGACATGTAAAAGACCTTCCTGCATAGAAATAAGTCTCTTTTCTGTTTTTTTTGTCTTTCTGGTCATTTATTGTTCTTTTGCGGATGTCTTTTTGTCCCTTTGTGTACATTGTTTGTCCTGTCTTGTCTCTTTATGCTTCTTTGCAATAGTTTTATGTCTCTTTGTGGTTATTTGTTTTCCTTATGTGTTTATTTTTATGTTGCTGTTATAATTTTGTGTCACTTTCTGGTTGTTTTGTGCCTCTTTGTAGTCATTTCGTGCCTGTTTGTGATCCTTTTTGTTACTGATCTATGCTTTGTTATTGTCATTTTCCATCCATTTGTAGCCGTTTTGTTTGACTGCAGTTGTTTGATGTCTCTGCTGTCATTTTGTGTCTCTTTGTAGCATTTCTGTGTATCTTTGTTGTCATTTCATGTCTCTTTGTAGTTGTCTCTCTGTAGTTATTTGGTTGACTTTCCAACGGAACATAATTTAACAAGTCATTTTAAACCGATGCTTTGATAAGAAGTCCCTGACCCTTTGGGACCCTTTGTGCCCTGTAATCCCTAATTCTTCCAGACTGACAGTGTTGTACCATCACACAATCAACAAATGTTCTGTTGTGAAAATGATTAACCACTAGATGGCAGTCAAAGCTAGATGCTATTTTCATTTATTGCTTACAAAAACACAAGGAGCAAAGTAACTCTCTTCTAAAACTATATTTTGCCTTTTTTCTTATGACGATCAAGGTGTGAAAAGAAGAAAGATGTTCTCCATGAAAAACTCACAACAGAGCGCAAAGAATTTGAAAATAAAGCCGAGGAGGAACGTTACATGACAGAAGAACGAGATAAGATGGCTTTAGAGATGTATGAAAACTGGCTGGTGAGTAGAATTATTATTATTATTATTAGTAGTAGTAGTAGTA